AGCAGATGCAAAATAGATGCACATTATTGTTAGTTGACAAAGTCATGAAATATCCATCCTGGACTTTTTTTGTTTTTCAGTATAAACATCCTGCTGTTATGTCTTTCTAAGTGCTATCACCACCAATTTAAAGTTTGAATCACAGGTTTTTATCTTTTTTCAGTTCAGCCATCACACTGTTGATGGAAGCGTTTAGGGAGAGGAGAGCCTTGTCTGTCAGAAGGTCTCACACTCTGTGTCCTGTGTGGAGCACACATCGCAGTGGCACTCCAGAGCCACGGGATAGTGGTAGAGAGGGGAGACGTCAGGCTGGCAGCCGGGCAGCCGGGCGGTCATGTGGCGACTGCGGTTGTACGTGCACACGCGGTGGTGACGGTGGATGTAGGGGGGTTCTGGTACAGGTTTCTGCAGGGTTCACACACACACACAAACACACACAGAGGTGAATCACAGGTTGCGATTGGAGGAAACAAAGCTTTTAAGAAGTTGAACTAAAAACAAAGAAACATAAATTTTGGTGGGTTTTTTTGGTAGTTTAAAAACAAACTTCAAATTTTATGTAGTAATAGTTGACATAAAAAATCAGTCTGAAAAACACAGAGACTGCAAGTTGTTGTTGTCTAAAGTTACCCAGATGTACAGCATTAACATGTCAAGTTTTCAGAAGTACAGTGAAGGATTGGTATCCCCTGACTGGGATCTGAGCATTTCTTATAAAAAAAAAAGTTACCAGAAAGCTAACGAGACAAGAACAGATCATCAGCTTTGTTATAGTTTAGTACAAGTCCTAGGACATGTAGGTGGGACGTTCAATCCGAATATCGATAGTTTGATACCAGTTTTGGTTAAAAGCACTTCTTCCCTGCACATCATACGCACCACACTCGCTCGTATATCCCCCATGTTTCGATTATTGTATCGTCTGAGTCGTCTATGTCCTCGTCCTGGATATGTCTCTTCTAAGATGTTTTCCTGTTTTGTTTGCAAATGAAGTTGTTGTTTTTTAAAAGATTGTTTCTAGCACGATGTTTCTATCTGCTACCTTCAGTATATAGCCCACTGTATTATCTGAAATCTTATTTACTTATTTTGTTTATGGAAGTAAAATAATATACCTCAAATATGCACTATGAAAAATGCAGGTGTAAATAGACTGACAGGAGGAAATTCCACCTGCAGTGAAATTGGACCCCCCCGACCATACATACATAGCAAAGACATAACGTGGGGACACAGGTCGGAGAGCCTATATCACATATCGCATTAAAACAACAGAAAATAACCCAAAGTCCTTTAGAAACAGGCGTATTTACATTCCATGTCTTCAAAAAACCCAGTTTCAAGATATATAAAAAGCTGAAAGGTGTGTCATTACTGTGTAAAATAAAAATCACAGTGATTAGGCAGTGATTAAAAAGTGTTCAGAATTTGCAAATTGATGATGATTCATCTCATAAATTAAAACACACTGCTCTCCCCTATAGAGGCTGACTCTATAAGTTAAAAGTATCGGTATTGGCCCCGTAATTACTTAGTGTCGGATCAATACCAAAATTTGTAGTATCGACATCTTATTAGTGCACTAATAGGAGATGACTCTTTTATTGGATGTTTTAGTATCCCAGCGTTAAAGACACAGACTCCTGTGTAGGTTACAAGTAGCTGATGTGACATTTATTTTCTCTGTGTGTGTGTGTGTGAGAGAGAGAGAGAGATACCTCCCACGTGTGACAGCGCCCCCAGCAGGCCTCTGTGGTGATGCGCAGCCCCTTGCAGCCAGGCTTGTGGGCCACAAAGGAGAACTCCCGCACTGC